TATTAGTGATAGTTATTGTATATCATATTTATTTTTGTACAGTCAATTCTACTTAATTGGGACACATTTGGACTAATTCATTTTGGTCTAATTAAATGAACTAATAATAAATTTTAAAATAAAATATGTAATACGTAGGTAAATAAGTCGGTAAAAAAAATATTAATTAAGTACCTATTTTAATGCTTTATTAAACCAAAATACAGAAAATATTTGTACTATAAATTTGCCAGACTCACGACAATAAATAACTGATTTGCATCACGCTAGTCTTGCCAAATATTAGTAGTAGTGACATACACAAGGGTTGACTGTTCAATCAGGAATGGATCAAATAAACTTTCTTTTTTCCCTTTTTAGTTAGAATGTGTCTGGGTTCATCCAAAAGTCACCTTATGGCCTTTGAGCACAGTTTTCTTTACTTGAAGGTGAGCCATTTCAGCAAAAGCATCCATAGAATCCACCATCTGGAGCTGGTGGATTCTACGGATGCTTTTGCCAGCTCCACCAGCTCCAGTTAGACATAATCATGCACACAACACCTTCCAAGGAAACTCTAGCTGTCTTGAGAGTCTTTGTTCCTCCATTTTTAAGGGAATCATTCGGTCAAATCTGGAGCAGGGTCAGTAGCTTGCATTAGGTCTGTCTCAGATGGGATTCTGGTGTGATACGTCTCACTATGCTGACCCTCTCCACAAAACCAAATGGCTTGAGTGAAAGACAAAATTGCTTTGTCTCTGCCAGTTGTTAGGTCTACATGGCATTAGTGTACATAGTGTTGACATATTTTTGGAAGATCTCTAAAATATATCAGAAATCGCTAAATTCTTTTCTGCTACTGTCCCAATTAAGCATTTAAATTACAGTCGACCCCCCTATAATTACGATTCCTATAAAACTACGAAAAAATTGCTACCGGTATCCGTAAAAAATAGTAAAAGTTCCCTATAAACACCTCAAACGTCATCGGGCAGCTGAACTACTTTCCCGCCGTCCGTAGCGCCATGCTACGGAGAGATTTCTATCGTCTGGACAGTATTATATAAATTATATATAAATTAGGTACTGTACATATAATTATATATTAATTATATATAAATTAGGTACTGTATATATAATTATATATTAACTTATTGTAACTTTGTTATAATTAAATATATAATTTCCGCCGTCTAGCGTGGCGCCACGCTACGGAGATTTTTACGCTAACTATCGTCTGTCAGTATGTAAATTAGGTACCGTAAGTCTAATACAGTACTGTAATTTTATACATTTCTTGTGAAAGAAACATTTCTTATTCAACGGCGATTAAAATTATTTATATTAATGATGTCTCCGAAGTTCTACGAAGTTTTCACAGAAAAATAAGTTGTTAGAAATCGGCCGCTCTTTGCTGAGCTGTTCCGCGACGAAAACAATGTTGAGCAATGGCAATGTCGAATGGTGACACTCGGTAAGTAATCCTACAATTTTTTGTTTATAGCGTAGTTTATACGGATTATTCCCAAAAAATATATACGTATTTTGGAAATGTTGAGTCGGATTAGTCTAGAATCGATTAATTTTATGGAAGAAAATCTTTCAAACAGCCGTAGTCCGTAAACTTGACACGTGTCGGGTTGTGATTGGAAGGATTCGTAAGAAAGCGGATTCCTAGAGAATGGAACGTATCTCTATCTTATAGGGGGGTCGACTGTATGTATTAGTTTATTAGTTTGATTTCTGTTCTTTGAGATTTGGCCCGAAAAAGTGGCTGCTCCAATTAACCATTGGCCCAATTAAACAGAATCGACTGTATCCAATTTATGTTCCATGCTTGTGCATGAGAAACAGTTTGAAAGGTTCTGTCTTTAGATTTCTAGCATTCTGTTCACTATTTTGCCTGAAGAGGACAGTTATATACTGTCTAAAGCAGTGTTTTCGAACACTGCTTTAGACAGTATATAACTGTCTAAAGCAGTTATAACAGTATATAACTGTCTAAAGCAGTATATAACTGTCTAAAACTGCCCACGCCCCATGGGGCAATTGGATTGTTAAAGGGAAATTCGAAAATGGACTCGTCCAGAGTTTAAGTTAACCGTATAGCCACTGTATGTTAGGGAGGGCATAAAAACTTTAGAAAGGCCTAGGTGGGGCATTGCACAAAAAAGGTTGGGAAACACTGGTTTAAAGTACTTGTGAATTAAACATATTTTTCTCTAATGCTGATAGACAGTTGTGTGACTTACCTTTTATTATTGGAATGCAGATTGAACAGAAAAATGGAATATTGATAGTGGGTAGTTTTATCAAAGGATTTCTAACACTAAAGTCAACAGATGTTGAATGTGAAGACAGTTTCAATATGGTGTGATTCTAAAGTGTAATAACTTGTTATAAATTCCTATCTGTGTAAAGTTGTTCTGATTTTCAGCATTTACTTTGAATTGATTTTGAATATAATCATATTCTTCCAAAATTTTAGGTAATGAGTTTAGTCTTACTGTGTCTTCTCGTATGTTACCCCTTTCTGGATCATTAGGAATTTTTGAATATTAGAAAGCTTTCTCTTTGACATCATTTCAGGCATATTTAACTTATGGTATAACTGACAATGGTTATATTGTAAGTTAAATATACCTGAAGAGGAGATTCAGGAGGTCCAGGTAGCGTAATTGGCAACACATCTGCACAGCAAGTGGGAGTTGTGGGTTTGATTCCCGCTTTGGGCAAATTCTTTTCTTCCAGTTTATTCTAAAATTATTTAATTAAATTATAATTATTAAATTTAATACAAGATGGTGCTTAACTTCTTCCTCTAGGGACAAATTAATCAGTAATTAAAAATTATTATTGCTGAAATATAACCCGATAATTATATGGCAATTGATGTAGCTTTTACAGTAATGAATTGAGTTTTGTAGGATGTTTACATTTGTCTTTTGAATTCTTTGTGTCTGTCAAGTATACTGGAGTAGTATATATATGCTCTTCTAATAAGTACTCAAAAAGTGGACAGTTTGTATTTGTATCTGCATAAAGTATGTGCTGTTTGAACCAGCCAGTTTGTACAGTGAGCTGTATATGGGTTTTATGTAGACCGTAGTAATAATGCTACTTCTTTTGAACTCAATGTCTATATCCAAAAAACAAATTCTTGTGGAGCTATTATTCTAGATTTAGGTTCAATTCATCTTGTTACTGTTAACCATGTCTACAAACTGATGAATTTTTGTGCTGTTTTTCCAAATTATGCAAACATTGTCTACATATCTTTTGTAAAATATGATATCTGTTATGAACTCATTAAGAATTATTTTTCTAATTTGTGTAAAACAAATTAGAAATTATAATAATTCACACAACAATCCAGACATTGCAGTTCCCATGAGGATATCTTTCAACTGTATGCTTTGTTGTTGAAGCTGAAGAATGATTCATAGCATGGTAGATTGGCTAATTCTGCCACATTGGCATAACCATATTCAAAATCAAATGAAATGTCTGTCTATAAGCTAAAGTTGTTAAGTTTTGTATAGGTTTTGAGTTATTCCATGATAAATCACTACAGTATAAAAGTGTAGATAACTCAACTTATGAAAATAGTGTCATCACTTAGTAACTGTTTGAAATAATTATAGTGGGATGGCAACAAACAGCTCTGGTCTGAACTCAAGTGATTATTATTTGTTTTCAAAGTTGAAATCAGATTTGTGGGAAAAACTTCAAGGCTGATGAAGTGCAGTCTGCAGTAATGGCAGAACATTGGACTTTTTTGTTAAGAATTTGGACTATATTTAGATATTTAGAAAGACATAGAACTGTTAATAAAGTGCTGTAAGAAATTTGTTGACTTAAGAAATTGAGATATATAAAAAAATAAAAATAAATTATTTTCCTCCAGTAAATTAGGATCTTACTATGTATGTTGACTGAAAGAACTTTATTTTAATTTTTAATTCCATTTTTAATTTATTTAACAATTCTGATGTATAAGTAATCATCCAACCGTCAATCAAATTAATTAGGGAGAAATTATGCTATAAATATTAATAAAAAAATATATGATTAGAACAGCTAGAGGTAGACATCAGGTGCCATCTGTTAATGAAAGTAGTAACTATAATTTAATTTTAAATTTAGAATAGTCTGGAAGAGAAGAATTGGCTCAGATTAGGAGTCAAAAACCTGCAACCTCTGCTTACTGTGCAATGTATGGGTTGGATGATTATATCTAAAAGTTTAAATGTATCTGGAAGGGAGAAATTGCTTGGAGGTCCGGGTGGTGCAACTGGCAAGCACATTGCATGACAAGTGGAGGTTGTGGGTTCAACTTCCTCTTTGGGTCAATTCTTTCCTTCCAGATTGTTCTAAATTTAAAATTAAATTATAAACTTTTAAGTGAAAACTCTTATAATATATACATAGGTGTTTTCACTTATAAAACTTTGTTTTATCATTTCTATATTGTGATAAATGAACATGGAAGAGTGAGCAAAATAGTGCAAATGTATGTTGTTCATGCATTTTTACTATTTTTCCTACTCCTCTTGCTGCTTTATTAGTGTATCACATAATAAATTAGCCTAGCTCACTCTGTGCTAATGATTAATGCTTGTACTATACAAAATATAATTTTTTTTTTCCAATTGCATTTCCTCTTACATCATTTTTATTGTTTGAAGAACATTGCTTTGAATAATTATTAATAAGATTTCATATTTACACTGATCTCCATTAAATTGAAAATTTGTGGAATTAATAGAATAATTATCCAACATTTCTATTAATCCAACCAGCTATTTTCCTGTTTAAGATGGATGATTAGTGACTCTTTTACATATAAATGTGTGTCTAATTACATATGGATATTTAATAATGAATAGGTTTATTAATGAATAATGTATATTTGCTAATATTTATTTCATTTTTAAATTATATAAATTAAAGATAATTTTATAAAAATATGCTACTATATCAAGTTCTGTTTTTAAGAAACTATGATTTATTTTTTATAGGTTGCAATGGCCACAGGACAAGTACTATTTCAAAGATTTTACTATTCCAAGTCATTTGTTCGACATAGTATGGAGGTAAGAAAACTAATATTTTTATAAATATTATTCTATAAATCTAATTGATAATTTATAAAATATTTTGAGTTCACAACAGGCTTTAGTTTTTTATGACATTATGAAATGATATGGAAACATCAAGATCATGAAATCATAGAATCCTTATTAATCAATATCTTAAATTTGCCTATTTTTGTTATTAATCAGTAAAATAATTATCATTCTAAAGCATTATAACTGTAATGTCATATTTATATTTTTCAAAATAGATAGCTTTGACTGTTTCCATCTGGAGCTTGATGAATGACATTAGGAAGATAATCACAAAGTTTCAATGGATTTTCAGTACTTGTAAAATTGTTTTTATTCAAAATTAATGTTTTTGATATATTGGAAAAATCCATTTAGGAAGCTTATATAATTTAATATTAGTCTAATATTAAACTTCTGTATTGATCTTTGGCTTGGGAATAAACTTTGGTCCTCATAAAATTTACTGCAAATCTGGGGAATTGAGAGCCTGGTGTAATTATGGAATGGTACTAGTTGCAGAATAGATGTTTGTCTTGTGCATGGCTCTCAATTCTTCCAGATGTGCAGCAAGTTTTATGATGAGGACTGAAGTTTTTATTTCCAAGCTGAAGATTAATGTGGAAGATCTAATACCATCAGTCTTAGATACGATTAAATGATTAATTTAACATTTTAAAATGAAAAGATCTGTGCCATTTTAATAGGAACACAAATTTTTAAAAATTGAAAACTTTAAATAGAAAGTACTTTTAGTTGTTAGTTTGGGAAAATTTTATTTACAGCTGATTTGAAGATTAGAAAATTGTCCAAAAATGTTGGTTTCCATTTGGCGATTCTCTAGAATAATATGTAAAAAATATCAAAATGCATTTTACATGATTTTATCTGCAGATTGTGGCCATGGCATGCATCACTTTGGCATCTAAAATTGAAGAAGCTCCTCGTAGAATAAGAGATGTTATAAATGTATTTCATCACATTAAACAAGTGAGAACTGGAAAGTAAGTATTTTTATATAATGTTTTCTTTTTCATGTTTGCTTATTTGTAGAGATATTATAGTTTCTCAGTGAACAATAAAATTGTAGTAGTATAAAATTTATGATAATTTAGAAATATAATTACATATATATGCATATAAATATACTTAGACTGTATCAGGTTTAAGTAAAATTTATGAAAAAAAATGAAAACAAAATTGATTTATCCAATTGAAATGAAGAGAGATGTTTAAGTAAATACATCATTTATAAAAGTGTGAAGTGATGAAATAATTATATTTATTATAATATTTTTTGCTTAATCTTCAGTATACAGCATTTATTGTGCTTGAAGTTATGTTACATAAATTTTATGAAATTCAAAAATTTGTTTTCTTGGCTAGAATTATTGGCTCATTTCCACTTCTGTAGTTACTCTGTAGTGCAGTATTAATGAGATCACATTTTAACATTAACTTTATTACTAGAATAATAATTATTATTATTATTCAGTTATGTTTATTAGTAAAAAATAATTATTTTGTATTAAATATTAGAATAATAGTTATATTCACATTTAAATTGGTTTAGTTTCTAATAAATTAATATCATATTTATAAATGAAAAATTAATTAGAATCTATCTTGCATTCTTAAACAAGCTTGATTTTTAATTTTTATTTTAAATATAATCATTGTTTAGATAATAGTTTGCTATTAATCACATTAAAAAAATTGATTTTACTGTAGTCATATATTAACATTTTAATCAAGAATATATTTCTTGATTGAAATGTTAATATATGACTACAGTAAAATCAATTTTTTTTTGTAATTAAATTTTGAATGTTAATATTATCAAGATCACATAATTTTGTTGTTTTATTATAAAATTTAAAGTGCTTTGTAACTTTACAAATGTTTGTTACATGATTTTTAAATACAATAGTTATTGTTAGCTAATATATATAAAACATATGGAAATCTATAAAAGTGGAAATGAGCCTTAAGTGGATTTTGACTATCTTAACCTATACCAGTTGAATTCCATTAAATTTAAAGCTGCAAATTTGATATTTTTAATCCAGTAATTATTTAAATAGAATAATATGAATTTTTCAAATATTTACATAATAATAGTATGAAAGAATAGATAAAATTTATAAATAGATATCCACTATGATAACATATCAAAGTACTTTTATTATGTGCAATCCATTTTAGAATAAGTGTAACAACACATATTAATAAACAAATACAATGAAATTGGTCCTTTTTCCAAAGAAATTTAAAGTGTGTGTCAATCTAATATTTAACCTTCAGGCACAATTTTTTCTCCCACAATAGTAACAGGGAATGAGATGTTAAGCTCTGCACCCATATTTTAAATAAGTCTGCTCTTGGTGTAGAAATGGCAGTGAATTTGTTATTCAGAATTATAGGTATTCTAAATATTTTTTTATCAGTATTGAAATATGCTTTCTAACTATTATACATAATTTTAGATTAATTAAAAAATATAATAATAATATCAAAAATGACTAGATTAAATTTTAAGAAAGAACATAATTTGCATTACATTATTTTAAAAATATAAAGAAAGATCTATAATTAACTGTTTTTTGTTTTTGATAGTTAATAATTTAAAGTTTATTTAGACAGTATGCTAAGCAAATTTGAGTAGCTTAAACACTATTGTTTATTATGACCTTTCATAAGTTATTATTGAGTTGTGGTAAACTGAGTTTGATGAAATTTTATTTATATATTTTGGAAAAATTTCTTAAAACTTGGTTTGTACAATACATAAAAATAGGGACATATATTCAGGTTGTATCTCATGATTGATATTTCTTTATTCTAAAGAGTTTCAAAATCTACTTTTCACTTTTCTAAATTATTTCCTATTATGTTTTGTTGAGTTAGAAATAACAATGTCATTATATTTTACTATGCAATGTAATTTGAACTCTTGTTTACATTGGATTTTTAGAAAATTACAAGAAGGCATTTATATTTTTATAGGAGAATTTTGTTAAGAATTTATTAACAATTTCAAATATTAAAATATACCATATTTATTTAATGGCAGATGAATAATTTAATTGGCAATTCAAATTAATTAATTTGATTAATCTGATAAATTGCAAATATTAAATGTGATAAGTCATAAATGTTAAAATTTTTAAGTGAGATTTTATGCAAATGTAAAATTAATTTTCAAACAGATTTTATAGTTCATAATATAATTTTAATTTGGATATATTGCTTATAAAAAATTTCATTATTTTGATTAAAATTCTTTACATCATTTATTGACCATTAGATTTATTTTGATTTTATTGTTATAGTTTTATTTTAGCTTTTAAATTTTTCATTTTATATGAAGATATTCACATAATGCATTTAGGATTTAGTATGAATAGCTAGTTTCAAAATTAAACTTGAATTTGATTTACAATATTAAGAATTTTCTAATTAAAATTAACCATCTCAATTTGTTTGCATGCTGTCTAATATGGGGAATTTAACAATTTGTTTATATTTTGTAACAAGGCAAAATATTGCATTTATATTTTAATAATAATAATAATCTGAGAAATTTATTTAGTATTAATGGTTATTTCATTTCTATATATTGTAATTATAAAACATACATAAATAATAATTATTATATTAAAATTTTTTTGTGCCATGGGTTATTAGTATGTAAAATTTTAAATAAATATATATGTTGTGGAATAGTGGTGACGGTTCTTTTCTCTCCGTGTGACTTTAGCCTGCCCCTCCTCCAAACTGAGCAGCAATGGACCCAGACAGCTTGCAGCTGACGGGCTTGACTCTGGGGCTGGCTTATTCATCACCACATTCTTTAGTCCACTGACAGCTATGGTTTGTATGGTGATCTCAACATAACTTGGTTATTTTCTAACAGTTTTTTGTAAATTAATACAAAAATTTTATTATTATAATTATTATTATTATTTGAAATAGAATACTGCAATCACACATTTGTTTAAACTTAATAATTATCATAATTTAAGAATTTTATCATAATACTTTTCTTATTAAATACATTTTTGAAGTTCTGTGAGAATCAGTTTGTTAAAAATGAAAAAATTATGAAAAATTAATTTAAGATATAAATCCTTTTATTTATGTCATATGAATTTTTGTTACTGTAAACTAATAATAATCCTGTACTATATTCAAAATTAAAAAAAAAAAGAAGGAAATTTAGCTAGTTTAATTTATTTTGCTTATTAAGTCTTGGAAACATATTTGTAGTGAGTGCATGCATCTTCTTAGTGTTAATAATTGGATAGTTAAATAAAATACATTTAAACTAGTATTCATGTGGTACAATTACACTGCTAATATATACATGCTAATATATAATTTGTATTAAATTTCTTTTATGTTAAAATATAAGTTGTATTTGTTTTTGTTATAGTTATATATTTTTAAGGATACACATATTCTTTGAATAACATAGTTACATTCCAAAAAAAAGCCACGTTATGCAAATTTATGATATATGAAACAAAGGACTAGTGCAAAACATGGGGTTAATTCTAAAATGTAACAAAAGTATACTATTCTTTTTCATTACTAAGAGAAGTATGTTTATTAAAGCAATCAATAATATATTTCCAATCAATAATTAACTAACAATCACAATTAAAAGTGCAGTATTATGCATTAATATTAATTTCAGTTAAACAGGACATTTTCTTTTTACAAAGTATCATCATCATCTGAGCTTTTTTGTCGATCTTGATCAGAAATATCACCAACAATTTTTTATGACAAATATAAGAATAAACTAAATAAGAATAAAAATATGTTATAAATCAAAAATTTGGTCTAGTCAGTTGTGTTTGTTCAGTCAAGGACTGAGTGATTTTTTCCTCCTCAGAATTTGTATTTCAATAATGAATTGAGTTGGGAACAGTTTGAGTATGGAGCTATTGCTAAATTTTGTTCATCATTTTTATGAATGATTACTTATCTATGGTTAAAAAAGTTTAATAACATTTACCTAAAAATGTTTAAATAAACTACTAAATACAAAGATTAATCTATAAAAAGAAAACACATGACAGTCTTAAGGGCTAAAGTCTGAAAACAATAATGATGACAACCAATTGATGGGAAAGCTAGGTCAAGGAAGAAGAAATTGTACTATCCGTTTTCCATTAAAGTAAACCTGATGAAAGGCACAAAACAAATTGAAAATTTCAATATTCTAAAGTCTGTGGGCAAATTTGAGAAAACACACATGCTTAACTTGAATAAAAAGAATATTGAATAATGGAGTTTACACTTAAAAATTGTGAAATTTTGTACGGAGGAATTCTCAAACCACGTTAAAGCAAAACTCGAAACTTTTGTATGGGGAATTTCTTTAATTTTCCAACTGTGTTAGAACAAGATAGTATTGTAGTGTGCTGTGATGTGAGGGATACCTGTATTTAGAAATTAATGTATGGTAATAAAACAGAATTATTTTAAGTTAATAGCATTTAATTGGCTATGCGTAAGGTGGATATTGGAAAAAATTTATATGCTGTAAAAATAATTCTTGTTACAAATTAGGCCCGTGGGTCAAACGTTAAGAAGCAACGTTCCAAAATCTACACAGGGATATAATTGCACTTCAAAGAATTTTTTATAATTGGATCGTCCCGATGAGAGTTGTACAAGTGTTCTTTTCGAAAACATCTGTTTTACTTCTACTCTCCTTCTTTAATTTATCTTTTTTTTATATATATAAAATGCATTATTTTTTACAATTTTTAGTACTAAAATGCTTTTTTTGATATGTATTACACTCCTATTTTATTCTTAAGTTACGTTAAAACATATAATTTTTAATTATTTTTAGTAAAGGACTTAATACGATAATTATTATCTTTTAGATACACTTTAATTCGTAAATGGAAGGAAATTATTATGCTTTTTAGTCTAATAAAAAGAAAAAAGTATTTATTATATTAGAGCTTGCCAATCTCTTAGATAA